TCCGTATATTCTCCTATCTGAAAATCCGCGCGTATATTCATATAACTCTACTACACTACGGGTTGCAGCGGGTCGAATTCACGCAGCCGAAATCACGAGGTGCTTGGAACAGCTCTATGTATGTGTGTATGTGTGTGTGTACGGTGTATTTGCGTGCGCGTGTAATCGAGCACGTGTATACGCGAGTATTTGCGCGTCTATATAGGTACGTGTTTCCCGTCTCGCTATTGCAACATGTTAGTCCCTCTCTCCTCCCTGCTCGCTGTCAGTTCAGTTTCCATGTCCCACCAACAATCCAATTTATACGCCGGATTATTCCGGGAAACGTTGAAGGAACGGAGGGTTGCTTTCAACCCTCTCCCTTCCTCTTCTACCTGGTTGTTGCCTTCCAGTCGGACCTTCTCTTCCTACGTGCCTGCATCGACCACTGCTAAATCGCAATGGCTGGATCGAGGGAGCGAGACACGATCGAACTGCTTCTATCCGAGCATGGCTCTTTTTGATCGTCACGTCCTTTCCTTCGTCTCTTAAATTAGATCGGCACGAAATATTTTTTCGTTATTGCCTTATCTTAACAAAACTTATTGGACTCATTCTAGAAAATCATTCACTTATAATGTGATCTATGAGATAAATTTAAGTGGTGATACACTTTTTGCGATTTTACATATATAAATATATGGATGTAGATCGAGATACGCGTGCAAGATTTTTCCTCCCGCATGTAAAAACTTACGTAAAAGATACATCGGTTTTATTTGGAAGAAAAGCAATGCTATAAGAGTAAGCGATTGAACTTACTGCGGTCAATTGACCTGATTCTATCCAAATATCGTATTTGATCTCTGATAACTCGAGACGATATTGTACGAATGCTGTTCTCTATTTTCAACTTATTTCTATACTTAATATTCTAGGATTCATATAGCTTAACCGTCTCTTCAATGAAATCTTTTTAATTAAAAACAAAATTTTGTAATGTTATACGAAAATTGCAGAAATTTTATAATTATCTTTTATATATTTTAATAGTATAAAAAACATAACATATAATTTTCAGAGCATATGGACTTATAAAAAACGAAAATAATTGATATATTAATTATTTTTGTCTTGTTTATAAATTTATTGTTAGTATAGTCTTTTTGCAGATGCGTTAAATGCACTTAATCAAATTGATTTTATTTTTAAAATTTCTTTTGTGATATCTCTCCCTCGCTCCATGAACGCCTGCAATAATTTTATCCGCTTTGTTCAATAAACTCTCGAGCGATCAATCAATGAAATGATACTATTGCTTTCTTATTGACGATTATGCGATAGAGCTCTGAATCTTTATAGAATATTTACGATATGTCACAATATATTATACGCATATAAAATATTTTTGCGCGTTATACTGGTAGAATATTCCAAGATGTTCTACAAATTTCCATACATCGTATCTTCGCTGTTTATTATCAATTTTCCTCGCGATTCTTCCCCTAAAACTTCATTGAGATCCTTTCAACAACAGTCAGAAGGATCATAATAGCTGCATAGAAGCTTCTTTATTACACAAAGATATCGAGATCTCGTTCAGTTTCTATTGAACTTACATAGATCAATATGCCGTTACAGAAATAGAAAGCACTTCACACACTCACAAACATACATAAATGGCGCAATTATCCGATTATTCATATTTCTTGCGTATGCAAGATCCATGCACCGTATCTGAATCTTAGATGCTGACGCAGTAAAAATCTACTGTCGAAGAATGGTGATTCACGAGAAGCCTCTTTATAAGAAATTCAGAACTTTTTAGAGAAGTGAACGACGGGGTATATCGATTCTCGATTAAGCTAAAGTTTCCATTAGCCTTGTGCGACCACTTTCTAGAATTTACGGGGTGTATAATTTCCCCGACGTTTTTTATATCCTCAAGTTTTACGAAGGTTTCTTCCAATTATTGCTAATTAAATAAATCGCATTTTTGCAGTACCCGATATATCATATTACTAAACTCAAATAATTTGCGCCCGTGTAGAAAGTTATTCATTAAATACTTTAAGCTTTATTTTCTTTTTTTTTTTTTTAATTAATTCAGAGTTTCGTTCGAAAAAAACATATTATAATAATAGATAAACATAAAAAATGAAGTTTTTTTTATTTTTGTTGATATAACGACATGTCTCGCTAATTAGTGCAGCTTGTCCCCTATCCGTGACATTTTTAAGTTTTAAATCTGTAGTTCTCTCAAAGTAGAAGTCCGTAAAATCGGGATTTTACTGTGCCAGAGATTATCGACTTATAAACATGGATTTCCTGTAAGTTTATAAAAAAAAAATGAGTAACTGTAGAGCAATTTATATCGCATCAGGTGTAACTGGTGGATCTTTATTCAAAGACGTGCGGCGAATACGCGAATCGGTATTTCTTTTTATCGAGATGCATCTTGTAAAGAACAGAATATGTGGTCGTCTGAGAGAACAGAAGCGCGCGAAACACAGAGATGTGCAAACTGTGGGTGCAGACAGTTTGTGGCGCTTTAGGATGAGGATTTATGCCCTCGTCCGAGACGTAAACAATGCGCGAGACGCGGCGATAAATCCGCAACGAGACCCTCTTTCCTCCCTCTCTCTCCTTTCCCCCCTATGTCGTAAGTTATCTAGGTCTAGGAAATTGTCGTTTATTGCGCTCTATTGCCGAAGTTACATGCTGCTATTACGTTGCCACTGTGTTTCATGAAGATGCGTATCTGAGTTTTAATACTTAACAAATTTTATTAAAATATATAAGATATATTGTCATTTTCTTTTGGGCAGATTAAGAAATTCTGATAAAAATTATTCTTTAAAACTTGATTATTTTGTTATACATATATATAAATATTCAAAGATTTTTTATAAAGTCGTTGCCATTGTTTTACTATACATTTCGAATAGAATAATTTTACTTACAATATTTAGACAAAAATGTTCTCACGTGTTTCACAAATATTTTTTAATTTTTAATTGTATCTCTATTATATGTATATAAAAAGTAAAATTTTCACTTTGTTAAATAATATATACGTTTCATATGAATATTAAGTCAATTCAGTCATCATAGTTATCACACTGTCAATAAAATGATTGTTGTAAAAAGAGAAATGATTATGATGGAGTGAAAAGGAAGAAGACAAGAAAGAAAAGAGTGTCTGACGAGAAAGATAAAACTTTATAGAAAAACATAAAACGAAAAGGATTGCGCATTGTAGATTAACGTACCGTAAAATTACAGTAATGTCCCCGATAGCAAGACGTTTACAACTACACTGAAGAAAAAAATTACCGTGTTTTATTAGTAAATTATTAATGTACACATACGAGATATACATATATCAATTCCATCTTATCGATCATCTTATTAATGCTTGGATATATCTTTATACGACACATATGAAAAATTGTAATTTATATGTATATATATATATATTGTAGATTTATATATATAATGATATTCAACAGGGATACATAAAAATAACTAATACTAATAATTGTCAGTATAGCAAAGTTTAATGTTTACATGTGTCATATCATATGTGGCATAATCTTTATTCTATAAACTATTTAAGTTATTAGCATTATATTTTTATAACTCGATTGAAAGAGAATGCGATATTTATCGTTGAAACTTAATTGAAGCTTTTTTAAACTGAGGGAAAGATTCATATCTGTATCGTGCGCGCACATGTTTAGATAATATCGTAAATATTTATTCTGAACTGATACTATAAATACATACGAGATATACATATATCAATTCCATCTTATCGATCATCTTATCGAGCATTCCACTGCAAAAATTAAATGACAAAAAAAAAAAACGAGAAATTATTCAATAAATACTTGCTCGAGTGCACAGTAATTAGCCACACAATTAGCCACACGATCGATGCGATTACGCGCGCAAATTAATTTCGCATACGGAATGCTGGAATTGGCGATTTCAAGGATTTTAAGAGAAAGAAAGAGAGAGAGAGAGAGAATAATAGTAAAACCAGGCGTCGGCGAATTTATATCCGACGATGTAAGACAATTTGTATTTAATTGAGCGAGGTTTGTTTCTCTCTCCGTAATGACCCCGCGTTGAGTATACGATTTGCGCCGTGACTTGTGAATTGCGGCGAAGTTACCGTGAATACATCGACGGATGTATAAATCGCTCGCGTAAAGGGGTTCGTGATGGTGAAACCGCGATGGAGGGCCTGCCCTCCATAAGGTACACGCAAACACTGTGGCCGCGATGTCTGCGGCGATAAAGTGACACTGATTATTACCGCTTAAATGTCTCTAGCCTTCACGCAATTGTCTCCTATTGACACACTATCCCTTAATTGAACTTTCCATTAAACACGCGTGTCGCTGCTAATATAACACGAATATTTGCAAGCGGCGCTTGTATTATTTACGAAACTAAACGAAATAATCCTCTATATTTGTATATAATACGGAGAATCTGCTAGTTTCCCATTCTTGCGAAAATTAAATTTTTTAACGCGTCTTTTTTTTTTCTTCATTCAACAACTTAATATGTGGAAAAAAAAAACAATTTTTGACCGATCTCTTTTCCATTCCGTAAAGGACGAAGTTACTCGCGATGAAACGATCGCGTACTGTCGGAGAGAAACCGCAGTACGCCGACGGCGATAGTAAAAGGTTCGATAGAGAAAGAGTTGACTCCGAAAAAAAGAACCCTTTCTTCGGCGTTTTTACAGCGTAATAAATAAGGGACTTTCTCTCCTAACCCTTTTTAGCGTAGAATCGAACGGCACATCAGCGAGTCCATGAGGTTGCTTTCACCATTCCAGGCTATTTTTTTTTACCCCCTGTGTTCTTATAAAACGTTCCACAAAATATTTAATAGTTGAAAAATAAATGTCAAAAATAGAGATTTATTTTATAGAAATTTATACTTTATGCGCACAATTATTTGACATTTTTTAGTTCTCATTTTTGCCTTATTTTTAATTGCAGATTACTGACATGCTAAGTCGTCAAAAGTCGCCGAGCTCTGTGAGTGGTGGTAAGTTTGAAACAATTATAGATAAGGGAAAGTAGGGAAAAACCGGGTACTTTTTTGGATTTGTTTTCCTACAAAAAATCTGAGAGTAAAAAAAATTTTGTCGACCGTTAGTAGTCTTTAGTGAATCTTAAACTATGAGAAAATAAGGCTAGTTGCTGAAAAAAAAATTTTTGCTTACCAAGAATAATAAGATTTTGTGGAGAAGTCAAAGTACCCGCTTTTGTCCTACCGTAGGGTCAAACCGGGTACCCATTTGAAAATATGCAAAACATTGTGTAATTACAAAATCCAATTTATTTTAATCAAAATACAATATAAAGATGTATTCTATTGACAAAATCACAAATAAAGATCCTCTTGTTCGACATTGCTGCAGGACTTCCTTATTTAACTTTTAGGGGTCTTAAAAAGCTTTTTTTTTAATGGTTTCTTTTTTTGAGCGATAGTTTTCGCTTCCAACTGCTTTTTGTAGGGACATAAAGTCAAGATAACAGTTCTTCCTCTTTTCATTATATGAGATGTGTAAATACCCGGATTTGCCCCAACACAAGGAAAGTAACAAATACGGCGGTTGTATATTCCGACCGGTACAAAGTGCTGATCAAAACTAATATGATATACTCTCTAATATGTATAGAATGCAATGCTGCACCTACCGAAACAGATGCTCTATATAGAAAAAGTGCACGACGACTCGATTCTTGCCTCGATATCGATCTTTTTTGGGCTAAAAACTTCGAACTTCTACACGGAAAAAAAAATTAGCTGCCGTAGCTAAAAATTGCGTGTGATAATTAGATTTCAGTCGTAATATATGGTCAGCGAACATCTTAGCTGTGACACCTATTTATTAGGTGCAACAGCAGTTTTGCTGCAGTTTAGAAATTTATTTTGCAAATCATGATTAGCTATGGTAGCGAAAATTTTTTTTTCCGTGTATTAAAAAAGAAATATCGTGTGCATAGGGGCACGGTTTGTTTTAAAATAATGATGGCGTAAATCCACAACTAATAACACAAGTTAGCCATAGATAGCAGCATTTATTACGAAAAAACAGAGGTACACGGTTTGACCCGCCTATCCGGTGTTACCCAACTTTGCCCCTACATAATACGCATGAGATGATTGTACGCATAATTGTGTACTTTTCGGTAATACGTAATTAGAAAAATAATAGTACGATAAGGAAATAGGTTACATCGCAAAGAAATGGGTCATGATTCGAGAGATACTGCCTATTAAAACGCCATTATACTCATTTTATTTCGCACGAGGGTAATTTGAATTTGAGAAAAGTAGTTTTTATACAGCCGAGCACATAATTTACATCGATATGCATATAAAATAGTGCAACGGATAGTGATGTAAAAGATTCGCGGAAATGATTACGCGTGGAAATAAAAATGACAATGTATCTCCTCAAAGAAATAGATTGCATCCGCGCAAGAAACGCAACACGGCCAAGTTTCCTAGTAATTTTCCTTGTGCAGCGTCGACTTTCTAGACCGACGATCATGAAAAACCGCCGGAGCGAAACCGCATGTGTTTTATTACAGCTTTAATTGCAAATTATCCTCTTACGGCTGTACTTTACACTAATCGCAGTCAGGGAAAATGTAAAATATAGATATTGCGATTATACATGTAATTGCCTTTAAGGACTTCTTGCTGTTCATTGTATCAGGAATCAATGGAAAATGTTATTTCGAGATCATATTTCTATCGTTCAAGAAAAACGATGGACGAATTTTATTTTTCGCGTTACACAAACCCGGATATTGTAAGTTATCACCGACACGTCAAAAGCAAAGTAGATTTATTTTTGTATGGAATGTCTAATGTAATGATAAATTTTACTTTCTAATCATTACCGTTATAAAAACATCATTTCTGTAAAAATATTACTGATAATGAATTGAGACGGATACATTAAAATCGTATACAAGACAAATTTATATATAGACATTATATCGTTAAAAATATCAAATTGTTTTGATATCAGATTTAAATTAACTACACTTGCAAACTCTTTCTGTAAACTAATTCTATATTTTAATGGGGTTACCTTTTTATATTCACATGATAAAATTTTAAATTTGATTTTATTATTTCCCGTGTTTCTCCTCTTTTCTTAATTCGCGATGGCAACGATGCAAGAACGCAAAGTTTTCTTACGCATAACGTCTTGGTGTGAGAATCCTACCCTATTCTCTTTCGCGTATCCCCCTCGGGCATCCCTTTTCAATCGACATTATCTTGTTAGTTGTGGGAGACGTAATTTATAACTTCCCTAAGAGGTAGTTTGCAAAGTACAACGCCATTATAAATTCATGTTTACGTCAGACAGAAAGCCAGAGAGATCTCGTCGGTGGCGGCGGCTGAGAAACGCTCACTTGAGAAACGTACACCAGGGACGTGGCACTTTGCGCTCCGCGACACACCCTGCGCCGTTAATTCGTTACTTTACTTGACCCTTTACGGCAGATAGGTACGATTTTCTTCGCAATTTATAGTAACCGATACCGTCGATGACCATTCGTATTCGAAAACGAGCCGACGCTCCTCTTATCTTTTTTCTCTCTTTTTCTCTCTCTCTTTCTCATTTGCGCTCTCTGCGTGCAACTCTTCTTCGCGAAGTCCGCCTCCTGTTTTTCAGACGAAAAAAACGCTTCCCACCGCGAGAAGCAGACGCCCGATAGGATCGTATACACGCATACATTAATGCTTGAAAGTTGGTAACCGCGTAATGTGAATCCGCGAGCATTCCAAGCCGATTCGACTTCGAAGAATATACGTATTCTTACGATGTAACTCTCTCGCAAATATACCTCTCTCGGGGACTATGCCGATTGCAATTCTTTTCAAGGATCTGGTATTATAAACCGAATTTGTGTTGTGAATCTCTGGTATTATACTTCGTCGTATAGCTCTGTAGTCTTCAATTTTTTTACCGAGATACGAGAGAGAGGAAGAGAGAGAGAGAGAGAGAGAGAGAGAAAGAGAGAGAATATTTTTCAAAGTATGCATGTAACATTATATCCATCGGATTTTGAACGATGGCGTAAAATGTGCGCGTATTTGCGGGAGATCAATAATGTATGTACATACGCGTTCGCGGGTCAATCGTGTATACTGTAAGACGGACGGAAATTAATTAACCAGATTCGCTATGAATTTCAGGCTTAATACCATAAGACGAGCGAGGTAATCGCGCCTCTCCAATTTTACATCGAATTAATTGACGCCGTTATGTCGTAACCTTCGCGCTTCTCGACTCGCGGAACTTTTGCACATTTGTCGCGCGAGACGAGATGTTTTCAGGCATTTTTAAGACGTCTTAAGATCCGCATATGTCGCCGCGTATCTCGTTTTGAATAACGGTCAAACGCACTTCGTCTCTCCGATTTTACGGTCTAAGGAAACGTTTGCGTATGTCCACCTTCGATTTCGATGAACTTGAAACATGTTATCTCGAATAACGTAAAAGATAAAAGATATTTTATTAGTGTTTTATCGCGTATTAAAGAGTTGAAACGGACTCTAGAGGCTAAATCGACATTTTCAGTTTTACGCGAATATTGGTAAAATCTCGAGATGTACAAAAGAGTGTTTTCAAATAAGGTTTTATATATTTAATGCATTTCTCACGATTGTGTGTTTAGATTTTTCAAAAATGTTATATTTTTCAAGATTTTTTTTATAATGCAATAAAGTTTATTAAATATATTAAATATCAAAATTTGTTATATATATCTAAAATGCTTCGATAATATTCTTTTAGAATGAAGTACCTCGAAGGACTGTTTCAATTTTTTAATATACATATAATTAAGCATTTATGGAAAGATATTCTTATTTTGAATTATTCTACAACATATCTAGATTAAAAGAGAACACTCGCAAACGTTTTCTTGAAACCTTGATAACGTGCATATGTACTGTATTTTTTTTTATTGCATTAGATAATATATAGACGACTAATTCGCAGCGATAAGCAAATGGTTGATTCTTAGCAACTTATCTTTTAAACTTTCGCGTAATTCGCCGTAATTAGTACTATATGTTATCACAAATTTTCTTTTTAATTATCGATTATTTAATAATATATTCAAGTGATAAGAGAAGGCAAATATTAGCTAACTCGCCTTTGATACATACTTGTAAATAACCGTAATAACCGGTTTGCTTTCTTTCTATGCAAGAAAACAATTCAGCACGACCAATTTTGCGCAAAGTATTCTTTTATGATAAACAAGTCTCGTTTCTCTCACTCGCGGTATAATCGTAATTGAAAAGATGTACGCAGAAATTTTTGATATCGATATATATTTCTATAATATTTAATTATTAGAAATATATTAAGCAAGTTTCTTTATAAGGAAAATACGTAAAAAACACTGTTTAAATTAGTTTAGTCCATACATACGTTTGTTATCGGCATTACAAAATTTTTTCGCCCATGAACATAGGAAAATTGAAATTGATACTTGTGATAAAAACCGGCGAGACAACAATTATCTCGGACTATTTAGACATCGAAATCGTGGATTACGTTTCCATTATTTCGAAAGTTTCCAGAACCATGGAGATACGCGGAGTGTTGCATTTCCTATCCCGCGTCTCTCTCATGATGGCTGACAACGTCTCACCCCACCCCATTCGCGCGCAGCTCTCTCTCACAAAAGCGACGGGTCCAGAAGGACAAGCCTAGTCTAACCTAACCCTTACTTAAGCTCCCTTTTGCACTTGGCGGCCATGTTGCTCCGAGGGTTGGGCCACCAAAACGACGGCGATTCATTGGCCGCGAGAGATGGGAAAGAGAAAGAAAACAAGAGAGAGTGTGAGAAAGAGAACTTCTCCATTTCCGTCTTGCTTCGTCTCGCTGTGTATCTTTCGTCCCATCTCCCTTCCTTCCGTTTGACGCTCTCTTTATTCAACATCCCCTATGGCGCGTTTCTCCGTCCTTTACCCAGGTCTCGCTCCGAATTGACGTC